GAAAATATTTCAAAGTAAATTACATTATTTGATAGCATAATACTTCAGATCATGCCTCGTGTTTAGACCCAATCCTGTATTTATTCAAACCTAAGCTTTGCTATTAACCGACATATGACCTTTACTTAGGTATGCAACAATATAACTGCTATTCTGTTTGTACTGGGTATATCACAGTAAGCAAAACAAAGACCCCGTCCTCATGGAGCTATATTCTACAGCAAGGTGTGGCAAACTTTTCTGTAAAGGGCCAGATAGTAAATATTTTTAGCGTTGTGGGCCATACAGTCTCTGCTGGGAACTATTCAACTCCACCATTTTAGTATGTAAGCAGCCAAAGCTATGTGTAACCAAACTGACATGGCCATGTTCCAATAAAACTTTATTTCTGGACACTGAAATGTGAGTTTCATATAGCTGTCATGTATCATGAAAGATTATTCTCCTTTTGATTTTTCTTCAACCATTTAAAAATGTAAAACCCATTCTTAGCTCACGGGTCATACAAAAACAGGCCGGGGTAGGTATTTGGCCCTCACGGCTTAGTTTGCTGACCCCTGTTCTAGAGTAAATAGTTGCATAAACAAGTGAACAGTATGTCAGAAGGTGATATGTGCTGTAGAGAAAAGTGAAGCAGTGTAATGGAGAATAGAAATAATGGGAGTAAACAAGAAAAGAAAAATCCACTGCCATCAAGTTGATTCCGACTCATAGCAGCAACCCTACAGGACAGAATAGAATTGCCCCATAGGGTTTCCAGGGCTGTAAATCTTTATGGAACCAGACTGCCACATCTTTCTCACTTGGAGCAGCTGGTGGGTTCACACTGCAGGCCCTTTGGTTAGCAGCCGAGTGCTTTAACCACCGCTCCATCAGGGCGCCTCAATACTGGAGTAGGGAAGTTGTTACATTGCTGTTGTCAGTTGCACTAGAGTCAGCTTCAACTCACAGGGACCTTACGTCCTATTTGAGGAGAGAATTGAAGGAAGTGTGGAAGGGATCCCTGACTAGGGGAAGAACTTTGCAGGCAGAGGGAAAGGTGAATGCAAAGAGTCAGACCTTTCTCTGACTAAGGGGCAGAGATGAGATGACGAACACCAAGTTAGAGGGATCACTGTGGCCGGAGTGATGGAAGGTGAAGCCAGCAGGGTCTGCTGACAAAGAGGATGAGGATGTGAGAGAAAGGGCAGCTCCAAGGTCTTTGGCTTGAACAACCGAACCAATGATGGAGTTGGCTGTTTTGTGAGATGGGGGGTTAGTTTCTCTCTTTGCTTTAGCTTCATCATCTGCAAAATGAAGCTAATAGTACCTGCCCCTGGCAGAAGGGGACAGGAAAGCTGGTGATAGGGAACCCAACATTGAGTAAGGATAGTGTTGATGTGTTGTGAGGTTGTTAACCATTGTCATAGGGCAAC